TCACCTTCGGGGGGCGTCCGCAGATGTCCGGTTGCATCTTGGGTTACCCAGACCTTCCAAAACCCCTTAATTAAGGAATATACCTTAAATTATAGTAGGATCCCGAATATGATTCAAGGTATATTCCTTAATTAAGGGGTTTTGGAAGGTATGGGTTACGAGGCCCTGAAGATGTAGCCTTAAGGAGGGATTGTCATCGATCATATCTCGGGCTGTTCCCGAAACACTACTTAAAGGATCATGGGACTTAGTAAGTAGGTTATAATTGGGGTTATAAGTCCCCTAAGTGGGGTTATCCTAATTATAACCTACCTATAACCTTACTTACTAAGTCCCATGATCCTCTAAGTACACCCTAGCCAGCACCAGTACCCTAGCACCGAGGCGAGATGGCGAAGGGGCCGTTATGTTGACCTGTGGCAGTTTCCGAAAATTGGGGGTACCTTATTTGGAGGTTTTTATAACAAGGATCCTACTATTTGGGGTGCTAGATTGGGGTCCCATTTTTTTTTGGAAACTCCCACCTGAATCTGAATGGAACATCCCGGTAGGTCGTCCCGGGCGAATGCCATAAGCTGCAAGCAATGCTTCTAACATGCAGCAGTTGCTGTGTGATTTTGATCCTCTGGTCTGTTGAGTGGGCATGTGTCCGATTGGGTTTTGTGAGGAGTCAGAGGTAAGCTCAACATTTAGCCGTATACTTCAAGAAACCCATCGCTTTTGTGAGGACTTAGTGGAAACCTCAACATTAGGCGTACCCAGAGAGCCCAATACCCCTTAACTAAGGAATATGGCTTAAAATATATATAGGGCTTCATATTATGATTTAAGCTATATTCCTTAAATATTAAGGGGTATTGGGCTCTCTGGGTATGTATGCTTGAAGAGTTCCATCGGAGATCCAACCTTACGACTCTTATTGGTAGTGTGGGATTTCTACATGTTTGACGCTGCATCTAATGAGCAAGTGATGGCTGAAGAATCACGAGAAGTTCAGAAGTGCGAAACGCTGCGAACCACAAGATAAAAGACAAAGGTCATGGGTTGCTTTGATTTAATTGGGCACCTAAATGATCGGGGGGAGGGCATCGTTAACGCAAGACTCCCAACTTTCATCCCGGAGCCACTGAAAGCTGTAAACCCTAAGCACAAACGTAGTGTTCGCGGCATGCTTGATGCAAACTTTCGGCTCGACAAGGGACGACATTACCACCACCCACAAAACAGATGAATTTAGGGTTGTGAAGTTGGTTGCTTGGGTGGTTTAAACTTTCGGTGTGCCGACCTCTTTCGTTTATCGTTGTTCTTGCTCATTTTGGTTTCCTCTCCCCCGCAACACCTTACCACTCCACCCTGACCTCAGTCTCAGCCCTAAACTCCTTGCGCACAGTTGGAGTTCGAGACTCCGCGCCCCTTTCTGACGATATACTCGTTATCAAACAGTGACTCTTCGTGAAGGATCTTGATGGTCGAAGAAGCAGCGACCACTCAACATGTGTAGTGCCGTTTTCGATTCCCCTTTCATACTGGCAACATCCCAGTCCCTTTGCAACACGAGCGTCGACGAAGTCTTTTCCAAAGCCATGAGCCCTGAAGCAGCTCGGCAACTGCCGATTGCAACTAGGCTTCATCCGGTTGGCTTCTACCTGCACTAGTTACGAGTACGAGCACCAGTGCTTCTACTAGTGTCAGTACTGCTTCTGCTCTTGCTGCTGCCTGCTACTCTTGGTGCTGTTGCTGCCGTTGCTGCTGCTGCTGCTGCCAGTGCCGCTGCCACTGCGACTGCGACCTCACCCCAGGACCTCAAAGGAACCATTAAACGAACCCTAACCCTAAACCCTTAAGCCTAAACCGTGTGCCGTAAAAGGAACCCCTATACGATCCCTTTAAAGGATCCCTCAAAGGATCCCTGTTAGGGAGCCTTTACAGGAACCCCTCTAGTAGTCTGGTCGCGTGTGCCCGGCCGCTATCTGCTCGCAGGTTCGGCTGCATTTTGAGGTTCAGGGTGTAGGGGATCTAGGGTTTGTTTTTGTTTTCTTCCTTTCGATTTTTGGGTTTAGGGTTTGAGGGGTTTAGGGTTTGAGGGGTTCCGGGTTTTGGGGGTTAGGGTTTGGAGTTTAGAGAGCAGGGGTTTAGGGTGGTTTGAGGTTTAGGGGTTGTGGGTTTAGGGCCAAGGAACATAAAACGTCCGTGAAATTTCAACAGCCATGAACCCTTTTATGAGCCTTCTGGCCTCTGGGCGGAAGGAAGCCCCCACACCAAAAGCCCGAAAGCTCTAAACCCTACGCCTCATACCCCTGAAGAACAGCGGCGAGCCGTATGCCGGTATGCCGGGGTAGCAATGAGGATGCTGATCGCCTGTGGAATTGCATGTCTTGGGGTGGACAATGTATCGATTTGGGATAGTTGTTCGTTTCCTTTATTGTTCAATATAGAGCCCTAATTAATTATAAATGACTCTTGAAGACTGCTGAAATCGACACCTGACCTAGCGACAGTCTGAAGCCTACACTAAGCCCCAGAACCCAAACCAAGGTGCATGTGGATTCTTTCGACGTGAATTTGGAAGAGCCGGTACCTTCCGAAGGAAGACTTGCAAGGGCCCTAACTCCGGCTGGGTTGAGGTAGAGTTCCTTTACGGGTTCCATGTGCTAGGGCCGTGGATGAGGAATTGGTATGATAGGCCTTGGGAGGGGTGGGGTTAGTGTCTTGACTTAAGGTTTAGGGTTTGAGACTTAGTATTTTCAGGGCTTGAGTTGATCTTTTTGTCCGAGAGCGTGGCGAATGGCCTTGTACGTGAACCCGGTGTGATTCGATTGCAAATACATGTTCGGCACACGTCTTCAACTTCTGTTATGCTGGGCAGCCATATGGCCAGATGGCCTTTAATTTCGGCTTCATGTACAATGTACAGATAGAACAGCATTCCTGACTACAAGGTTTTTCGTCTATGGCACCCCCAAAAAAAGCTGCGAACCCCGAAGTTTCTAAGCGCAATATTTACTAGTACCTCCCATGACATCCCTTAGGAGTTTCAAAAAACCCTAAACCCCCTTACCCTGCACCTTTACAGATCCGATAGACCCTTACAAAACTCTTCTCGAGCTCTCACCCAGCCCTTAATCCTAAATCTGCTTGGTGCCGCGGGTCTTGAGTGTTGCCCTGTGAGGGATCTTCTGGCAGCCTGTAACCACTTTCCTGAGGTGTCAACATGACAGCTATGAGGCGCATACGTGAGAAAGCCTGTCACCAAGAGCCAAAGCAAAACCCCTAAACCCCTAAACCCTGAGTGCATGATCAGTTGCCGACCCGAACGCATGGACCTCGTCTGGCTTGCCCGAGTTGCCAGAGTTTAAACCCGTAAACCCTGGACCCTAAACCCTGGACCCTAAACTCCTAAACCCTGAACCCTTAAACCCTAAACCCCAAAACCCTTAAACCCTAAACCCTTAAACCCCAAAACCCTTAAACCCTAAACCCTAAACTCCTAAACGCTAAGCTCATCTCCTGGCCCGAAACCATCGAGGCCGACTTCCGCTCACGACGGCCACCGCAGCTTCATGTAAACGAGAAAGCAGAGGTCTGGTGGTCCGGGGTAGGGTTCCTTTAATGCCTTTTCCTTTAAAGCTTAGGGTTTTAGGATCTTAGGAGATTCTCCCGTACAGCGTAGGGCTTTAGGATCTTAGGGTTTTCCTTGAAAGCTTAGGGCTTTTGAGATATGAGGGCTTGGGGTTTTGGGGTTCGGGGGCTCCCGGAGCTGCCGCAGGGGCTCATTTAAGGGGTTTTGGGTTTAGGGTTTAGGGGCTCATTTAAGGGCTCCTGTCAGGGGCTTAGGGTTACGGTTTAGGGTTTAGGGTTTAGGGTTTAGGGGGGGCCAAGCATACAACACACTTTTCGCAAGGTCCGAATCCGTGCAGGGAGGTTTGGGGTTTATTACCCAAAGGCCCAAAAGTAGTTCCTTTTTGGGACTACCCTATAGGATTCTATATATGAACCCCAAAAAGGAACTACTTTGGGGCCTTTGGGTGTTAGGGGCTATGGAGCCCGTAGGCCCTTCACCATCTAATTGTCGATTGTAGGCCTCAGCGTTATGCTGAAGCCCGAAAGCTTTGCACTCTAGCCAAAACACCGCAAAAAAAAAAAAAACAGATGCACAGGAAGCCCGAAACTTCAACCCAAATCCTCAACCCATTCCTTACCCAGAGGGTCCAAGTACCCAAATAGTAGGGCCAAAATCCATACTCTGAATGGTTTTTGGACTTTGAAACCCTACTATTTGGGTACTTGGACCCTGAGGGTTATTCTTACCCTAGGATTCCAAATAGCCCAAAGTAGGTAGCATTTATAGACTTTAGACCCCAAAGTAGGTACTATTTGTATACTTGGAGTCTTAGGGTTAAGACCCTATAAAGCTTGTAGATTCACTGCTGGAGTCCCCGGAGGCTCTCAAGGAGGACTCCATCGACTCCGTCGCCCTCTATGGCAATATGGGCTCCAACGCCCTATCGTCCTGGTGCCCTGCGTCAAGCAGGCCTTGGAGGGGTTTATGGTGTAGAGATTTAGGGGTTTAGGGTTTAGGGTTTAAGGTTTCTTGGAGGGCTTTGGGTCAGAGGGAATAGTTTAGGTTAGGCTTGAGTTCCAATGCTCCAGTCAAGCCTGCGTAAGAAAGGGTAACGGTCTAAGTTGAGTTGAGGGTTTAGGCATTAGGATACCCTGTTTGAATTAACGGGCAGTCCTGAACTTACGTATAGTAGGCCCCACCGTATGATTCAAGGATATGCCCTAATGAAGGGGTTTTGGAGACTCTGGGATACCTGTCCTTCACCCCTCAACCCCAGGCCAGCGATGGGTTTCTAGCTCTGAGCTGGAAGTGCAAGGTTAGGGGTTAGGGTTTAGGGTATAGGGTTTAGG